TGAGCTGAGCTTTACACCCTTTCCACCCCAAATTTTTGAATTGTGTGGCGATAACTCAACTCCAACAACACAGATCATAACTCCCTGCTTTGTTATCTGGAAGCACTTGGAAGTTCCTCAGTGATCCAGATGATTCCCCAGAATTCCTTGATAATTTAGAAACTTTAAATTATTAAATCATTCTTTTATAAGCTTTTTTTAAGTATTCTTTTAGGTGTTGTCGTGCAGAACGAGTTGAGTTTTGCACCTTTTCCACCCCAAATTTTTGAATTGTGTGGCAATAACTCAACTCCAACAGCACAGAGCATAACTCCCCGAATTTTTTTCCATTCTTTTTTCCCTGGAAGCACTGGGAAGTTCCTCAGTGTTCCAGATGATTCCCCAGAATTCCTTGATAATTTAGAAACTTTGAATTGTTAAATCATTCTTTTATAAGCTTTTTTTAATATTCTTTTATATAGCTTTTAGGCATTGCTGTGCAGAACGAGCTGAGCTTTACACCCTTTCCACCCCAAATTTTTGAATTGTGTGGCGATAACTCAACTCCAACAGCACAGATCATAATTCCCTGATTTTTTTTTCCATCTTTTTTCCCTGGAAGCACTGGGAATTCGCTCCCAACAGCGTGCACTACCTGCTGAGCCTGTGGCAGCGTTTGGCTGCCTCGGTGCCCTACGTCAAAGCCACAGAGCCGCACATGCTGGAGACCTACACCCCCGAGGTGACCAAAGCCTACATCACCTCCCGCCTGGAATCCGTGCACATCATCCTCAGGTGAGCTGGGAATGCTCATCTGGACCGCAGGAGGATGAGGAGGAATTTCAGAGCAGCTTTCAGGGTTTGGAATGGATGCTGGAGAGGGATTGGGGATAAGGGGTGGAGGGATGGGATACAGGGAGTGGGGTCACACGGACAGAAAGGGGATTTTTGGGGAGGAATTGTTGGCTGGGAGGGTGGGGAGGGGCTGGGATGGAATTCCTGGATCCCTAGAAATGTCCAAAGCCAGGCTGGGATGAAATTCCCTGTTTTTTCCCCCTGATCCATTCCTGTTCTGATTCCTGATTTTCCTTCCTGATCCATTGCTCTTCTTCTGATTCCTTACATTTTCCTCTGATCCACTGCTTTTCTCGCTATTCCTGACTTTTCCCCTAATCCACTGCTGTTCTGATTCCTGGTTTGGGGCTTTTCCTCCGATCCATTGTTGTTTTGTTTCCTGACTTTTCCCCGCTGATCCATTACTCTTCTGATTCCTGCCTTTCCCCCCAATCCATTCCTGTTCTGATTCCTGGTTTGGGGCTTTTCCTTCGATCCATTGCTGTTTTGATTCCTGACTTTTCCCCGCTGATCCATTGCTGTTCTCATTCCTGTTTTTTCCTCCAATCCATTGATGTTCTGATTCCTGGTTTTTCCCCCAATCCATTGCTTTTCTCCTGATTCCTGACTTTTCCCCCTGATCCATTGCTGTTCTGATTCCTGGTTTGGGGCTTTTCCTCCGATCCATTGTTGTTTTGTTTCCTGACTTTTCCCCGCTGATCCTTTGCTGTTCTGATTCCTGTTTTTTCCCCCAATCCATTCCTGTTCTGATTCCTGACTTTTCCCCAATCCATTGCTCTTCTCCTGATTTCCTGACTTTTCCCCTGATCCACTGCTGTTCTGATTTTTGATTTGGGGCTTTTCCTCCTATCCATTTCGGTTTTGATTCCTGACTTTTCCCCCTGATCCATTGTTGTTCTGATTCCTGTTTTTTCCTCCAATCCATTGCTGTTCTGATTCCTGATTTGGGGCTTTTCCTCCGATCCATTACTCTTCTGATTGTTTTTTTCCCCCCTGATCCATTACTGTTCTGATTCCTGTTTTTTCCCCCATTCCTGTTCTGATTGTTTGTTTTCCCCCCTCATCCACTGCTCTCCTCCCAATTTCTCCATGACATCCCACATCCATTTCCATCACTCCCCACCATCCTACACCTCCACA